GCCCACGGCTGCTGCCCCCCACCCCAGCCAGCCAGCTAACCCCCAATCCGCCATGCAGCCCCCCCAAAGCAGGGGGTATTACACCTACAGGAAGGAGGGGGAGGAATCTGTGTACAACCGAGGGGTGGCACCGCGCAAAGGTTTTCCAGTCTGACACCTGGCTGGCATTGCCCCCGCTGCTCCCCGCCTGTCGTCACCAGGCCCACGGCTGCTGCCCCCCACCCCAGCCAGCCAGCTAACCCCCAATCCGCCATGCAGCCCCCCCAAAGCAGGGGGTATTACACCTACAGGAAGGAGGGGGAGGAATCTGTGTACAACCGAGGGGTGGCACCGCGCAAAGGTTTTCCAGTCTGACACCTGGCTGGCATTGCCCCCGCTGCTCCCCGCCTGTCGTCACCAGAGGAACAGACTACAGATCGCTACGTGGCGGCTAGAGGGGGCGCTAGGTGGGCACCGCTCACGAGAAGGAAATAAAAGCGTTTACCTGGAGAAACTACTTACAAAACATTTCAACTTAGCGCCTCAACTCAACGCGTCAGGCTGCTAGCGTGGGCGTGAGAGGCCGGGCTCCGCCCCGTGCCCCCGGCCCAGCCACTGGCTCAGCCTAGCAGAGCTCCCCAGCCACAGGGACAGGCCCCACCCCCGACCACCTCCGTCCAAGGCACTTGTGGGGAAACTCGGCCCCCGGGGAGTCCCCGATGCCAACACAGCACACCCCCAGGGGAGAGGGAGAACCTGTGCTGCCCTGGCTACAGGCTCCCTGCTGGCCCGGTGCTTGCTCCCGAGCAGGCAGGGGTCCCGTCCCGGGACTGTTCGTCTGTGGTGCTGGTCCCGGCCAGGAGAGGCCGTGGCTTACCTGAGACCAACCTTACATTCACCTTTCTACCAAGACACCCTGACAGACCCTCTCCTCCTCGCCACTGAGCCTCGGCCGGCTGCTCCACTCCCCTGCGCTCACATCGCTCCGGGCTGGGCTCAAAGGGACGCTGGATCCCTGAGATCCCTTGGCAGCACCCGCCACAGATCCCTGGCTTCCTCCCACAGGCCAGCTGGGAGCCAAGGT